GCTGCCCTAAGCACTGAAATAATGCCAACCCTGTTTATGTTTGTTTATTGCTGAACTATACATATATCAAGATGATTACACATTTGGCATTACATGTGAATTGTAATTACTTCCAGCAAACTGCTCTTCTTTGCGGGAGAGAAGGCACTGGATGCTATTGCAGTATATATATAATATTCCATATTCAGCTTTATCTGATAAGACTTCTTCAGGAGTTTTATTTTATTTATTTTTTTGTATACACAACTTGTTTTGGTATATAGAAAAAGGGAGACAGAAGAAGGGTAAATCCCAGTGAATTCCCATTACATGATAATATGATTTTTCAAATCCAAGTTCAACTGTAATTTTGTGATTAAGCAAAACCAAGAGAGATCCAAAAGGAGATTTACAAGACGATGTTAAGCGGGAGAATTCCAGATTTTCCTGGAAGCAGTTTTGTCATCCTTCAATGTAATAACCAGTGGTGGATTTAATCCCCTCAAATTAGTCCCTCGCTAATCCTCACTAACCTCAAACAGAGGTCACTCATGTCCAATTTGAAGATGCATAAAGAACACTTTGTAATTGCGTGTTCAAGGCCCACAGCTTGATGATGAGTAATTCTCCTGTATGCTCTTTTATCTGCACATCAGATCCAAAAAATCAGTGTGATGTACATACATCAACCTGACAGACAGCAGGAGTGTGAACCCTTTAAAACATCACCTCTGTGATTTCATAATGTAACACAGGGACTCTGACATTAAAAATCAACATGTGATTATGTGATTTGTTGTATTATTCAGTAGTAATGTAACAATTCTCCATAAAGTGGCATTGATGGACGTTTTGGCCCACAGTATATAAAGTGTATTTGTGCATGTGAACACACAATACCTCCCAAGTTAACATCCAAATCCTCGCTCTACTGTACAGTCGAATGTATGGGGCCGTGCCAAATGTGAATGAGCGTCGTGCTGGCGGGACACGACCAGCGTGTGACCTTGTGCCGCTATCACATCACATCTTGGCTCCTTGTCTCTACTGTATTAGAGGATTATGCTGACCTATGCCCCTGTCCCCGCTCAAATTTAAGCTTGATGCACTTAATTCTAAGGCTATATTTTGCCAGCTGAGAGTATTGGTGGTTCGTTCAGCTCTAAGTCAGTGCTACCTATTTCCTGTAGTCATGCAGCTGATTAGAGCATATAGTGGCAGCGAGAGCACGGTGAAAATTCAGTATGTATCGTGGACACAAAGCTTGGTCAAAGCCTTCCTCTCCTGTGCATTTATAAAGTGAGAAAGTGGTCAAAGATTTTTACAGGGCAAGCACTGCACCAAGGATATAGATTGGATTGGATTATACAAGCCAGGCTTGACTTTCAAACTACCACACAAACAAAACTGTCACACTCTGAAAATCAAATCAATGCATTAATGAAGGAACAGCACAACAGCAAAACAACCCATCAGACCACAGAACTGCAAAATGAAGCAGGGTCTTGCATGACAGAACACTGTGTAAGTGGTGGCAAAACAATCAGATCAGAATACTTGATTCCCCCCCCTCCCTTGAAAACAGACTTGCTCAACTGTTTAAATGGAAGCTAACAAGCTTTGCGTCATCCCGTGATGTCATCTGTAACAGTAAAAGTTCACTGCTCCTCTGGAATCGTTGTGTTATTGTTATCTCAGAATGAGCTGTTTTTATCTACAGAGGGGCACATAGATGCCACCATGTTGAACCACCATGTTTCTTCAGTAATAACTTCACCACCATTGAATCCAATACACTAGTCCATTAAAGCTGAAACAATTAGTTGACTGATTGATGAGTTGATCCACAGAAACATAATCATTTTAATAATTGGTTTTGTCATTTTTAAAGCAAAAATACTATACCAAATTGGCTTGTTCTACGCTCTAAATTGTGAGGATTTAACTGCCTGTTCTGTTTTATATCGCTGCAATTGAATATCTTTGAATTTTGGACTGTTGGTCAGACAAGAGTATTTGAAGATGTCACCTTGGGCTCTGGGAAATTGGGAAATTGCGATGGCCAAGTGATTCATTAATTAATCAAGAAGATAATTATCAGATTGATTAAAAGTGAAAATACGTTCTTTTGAATAGTTTTGTAATAGGATCATTATGCTTTTTGGAGTAGTGAGAAGTCAAGTTTACTTCCACCAAGCTAGTAGTTTATTTAACTCCAGAGTAACTTCCTGGAGTGTTATGCTGTTTCTTTTAGTTTAAAGTAAAGGCTTATCAGTGCGGTGGTTCTTTTATTTTTAGATCAGGTTTGACTTCCCTTACTTTACATGTTGAACAAAACAGTGGCTGCCCTATATTTTAATCCTCTTCATCAACACTGTGTGCTGCACAGACTCACTACTATTTTTGGCTTAAGTGCAACAAAAAAAAAAACAGTTTGACATCTTTAGTTGACCATATTTTTAAATGCACAAAGCAGTTAAAGCATGAATACATAGATATTCGTTGTATTATTACAAAAAAGTGTAATTGACCTAGTTGAGTGATCAGCGGTGGTTACAGATATAGTTCCTCATATATCCCCACATCACAGTGAAGGTTATCCTGTATAATCCTGTGACCTGACCGGTGATCTACACCTGAAGCCTCTATTAATAAGAACGCTATTAATAGACTGCTACCTCGTGGCTACCTGCTGCCACTAGCAGACATTTCAAACCGCTGCCCATAAAATACAAACCCAAACAAATCCCACATTGTGTTAATGAGTATGTTTCGTCTCTGCCCCTCGGTGACTCAGCCTGACCCCAACGGTCCAAGAGGCTTCCCATAAAAGTGAAATGGTCCCTGGGAATTTGTAAAACCTCTGTGCAACCTTCACACACGTCACCTTATTATGCCCCAAACCTTGCACCCCCATGTTTTCAGACTTTCTTCTGTTGTGTTTTTCGATTATGCATTAGTTGAAAAGTGCAGACACGCAGTTGACCCTTTTCTATTTCTGCCTGCTGTGAAACATTTGCAATTCAAAGAGGGGCCAAAGTGCTACTTCCTGTTTTTCAGTCTTGTTACAATACTCCAATAATGTGTACCTTTTATTAGTTACCTTTATCCTTTATCTCATTTTTGTCTCCCCTATTCCCTCTTTGTCTGTCTTGCCCTGCATGTGTTCTCTCCTATTATGTCATCAAACTACGATGAATGTGAAGACACACACAACAGAGGGACAGAGTTATGCTAAAGAAGAAAGAATAAAGATGTAGGCAGCAGAAGAGATACTGGGTGCATTGAGACAGCCGTCCTGTAAGCTAGTGGCTAATTTTAGCCAGTCAGGGCAGTGCACTGTATCTCCCTGTGGATGAGTTGAACCATAGAGGGATCTGAGCATGAGCTCAGCCTCTTGTTCTCTCATCTGTTCTGTGTGTGGACACTGTCCTTTGTGCAGAAAGGTTACAGGACAGTCACAATAGGCCGGGGTGGTGAGATGTGGATTCAAAGAGCTTTTAAAACACCTGGGGTTTGGGGGGTGGGGTGGGGGGGGGGGGGTTAACAGCAGACTTTGTATACGCATGGCAAAACTAGTTCAGAATTATGCCAGAGAACCTGTCGGCAAAACATGAAGCCCACGCTCAGGCTCTCTTTCTTTTCCGGAGTGATTGCACTCTATGAGAAGAGGAAGAAAGTAGCCTTTGCAATTTTTCAAAAAGTGCTCAGTATCTGTCCAAATGCTCAGGTATACGAGCCAAAAAATAGAAGCATAAAAATAAAAAGAAAGCGAGGAGAAAATAAAAGGCATATAACATCAAAACAAAGACTGGACCTGGAGTTAAATATAGAGTAAAATATGTTATTAGAAAACGGTCAATACTACTGCTCATTTAATCTCTTTTTCAAGTCAAATATTTAAATAAACTATAACTGAATAATACGCTTATTTTACTCTATTGAGTACTTGAGAATTTTTTATTTGCATCATTCACAACTTTAATACTCTGTTCAAACTTAGATCACAAGTGTAGAAAATCTCACTTGAATCTAAAAGTTCACCTTTTCTCACTGAGTGGGATTTATTTGAAATCTCATGGCAGTACACCACACTGTCATGAGGCCCAATTAATTTGTCATTACACGTATGATAAGTAGAACGGGCAGTTTACAGACAATGGAAAGCCATCAACTTAAAAATAGAAAATAATAACCTGAAATCTCTTTCACAAATTGGCAATTGGGGCAGGTTTATTATGCAAAACCCACCAATCACCAATCTTTTTTTTCCATATTTAACTTTTTTAGATGAAAAATTGAGCTTTAGTGTGAGGGTGATTATGGAATAACTAACCTGGAAAGAAGTAATGGGTTTTTCATGCTAATGAGAAACTCTGAATTAGAGTCATAGCCAACCGGGCGTGAGTCAATTCTCTTCGCCCAGATCCCATGTAAATGAAACCGCTACACATTGCAGACATGCTTACTCACCCTGCTGATGACTTTCTATTCTGAAACTTCCTGCTCTGATTTAACAGCGACACCAGCGGTAACACTTGCCCCAGCTCATGCCATTTAAACACACGTACTGGCTGATTATTCCAGACGTCTGCACTCCCGTCATAATTCAGTATTTCATTCACCTCACTCACTCTGCATTACCTACTCTGTGCTGTGTATTTCCTCCACTGGTCAGTTTGTTTTGGAAAGGAGCCATGTTGAATTATGCAGCCTAACATCTGTGAGATGCACACACATATACACACACACACACATACTGGCGGCAACTAAATTCTCTGGTGGCCAAACAGGCACACCATGCCCTCTACTTCAAAGGTGACTTTGTACTTTAGTGAACGTTTTAAATATCTTTTTGTATCTCTGAAATACTCCTGAATGCCTGTTTAGACTGCTCGAGTTGTATCACTTCATTAAACTGTACTTCTGATCAGAATTTAAGTGTACAACAAAGGAGATAATGAAGAGGTCTAATTTGTGTCTCTTTGTGTCTCTCTCTTCTTTCTCTTTCTCTTTGGCAGATTTTCCATATGACCTATGACCTGGCCAGTGCAGTGGTAAGAATATTTAATTTGATAGGGATGATGCTGCTTCTGTGTCACTGGGATGGCTGTCTCCAGTATCTGGTGCCTCTCCTCCAAGACTTCCCCCCTGACTGCTGGGTGTCCCTAAATGGTATGGTTGTAAGTATGACTCATTCTTCTCTTTTGTTTGTTATTTTGTCATTTGGTATATGTATGTATGTAGTCTATATACAGTATGTGTTAGTGCCAATGAATGCTGCTCTCCTAACTGACCGTTTGCTAAGCCTAATTTTAAAACAAAAATATTTTAAAGGGTTCTTAAAAATACACCTAATAGCTATATATATAATATTGTGATAAAGAGCAGGCAAGTTCAGACTGTTTTTTGTTTTTAAAATTATGAATTGTTGCTGATTTCTTTTAGAATAGGCTACTGAAAGTAAAGCCCTGGAATGCACAGAGTTTGCAGTGAGTTACAGAAGCTAGTTGAACAGAGGCTATCATGGTCATGAGTTCAGCTCTCTCTAACCCTGTTTGGCTGGTTAACCTAAATACATCAGGCTTCTCGTCAGTGCATCGCAAGACGGCCAAATACTGAGAGTGATGGCGTCGAGAAAGAGACTGCTAACATTTGTGGCTCCACAGAGTCAACAACGTTAGCTCTGGTCAACAGAGCGCAACCGGCGAGCAGCATGTCCTCAGTAAAGCCAAGCCTTTTCTTGGGGAAAACCTGCATAGATGTTTGTATTTCCAAACTGAATGATTTCATTTTGTTTAATGTTCCAAGAGAAAGAAATATGATAAGGACTAACCGATGTGTCTGGCAAACTAATCTACTCACTATCTAATGAACACATCCAGGACCGGCTGTGCCGAGTTGCAGTTGCTAAGCTATTTTTGGACAATTGTTTAGCGAACGGTCAGTTAAGGTCATATTTATATCTATATTTCATTGGAGTACTTTATAGATTTTAGGTAGCCTCAGAACACATTTGTAGACCAGTTCAATCTGAGCTTGAGTTATTGTGAAATATATGAAGAAAATAATTAGATTTAGACCAATATTTAATGAGAGAGAAGTTTGTAGTTTCGACTTTTTGGGTAATATGATAATTAAATCAGGAAAACTGAAATAAATATACAAAAATGAAGTAGATTACAGCTCTGTGTCTATGCACTGTAAGTATCATATGAAAGGGAAAAGAAACGTGTAGTTAATAAACCTTTCTCAGTGTCTCATCACTGGTATTTTTTTATTACTGCCCCTTAAATGTCGATGATTCAAATGATCAGTCTTGGAGCCCCCGCATCAAACCTTATGTCTACTGAACCGTTTTTTTCCCTGCGGTTTCACTGTACGCAGATTACATGCACACAGGAGGACAAAATGGCTTTTAGTCTGACAAAAAAAAAAAACAGTCCACTTCACCCTTTTTTTCTCGCCACTCTGCTGCTTGCAGCTACGGTGGTAAATGCTTGCGAGGTCGGCTTAACCACTCCTGAACCAGACCAGACTCTGTTACCGCTTCCTCTAGTGTCTCTGTGTTAACAGTAACACCACTTTGGCTGACAGTTTTGTCACAAACGATGCAAGAAACACACTCCACAGTGGACGTTTGATTAGAGCACACACCAATTCTTTTACAGTGTGAAGATTTTAGTTGTTAGGAAAGGCCACTAACCATTAACAACATGTAGGCCACTATAGCAGTTGTTGTGTAATTGGGCAGAAACCATGAGTAATATAATATTTTTCACAATTACAGGGTATTAATAAAGAATGCTGCAGTTATGAGTTTATTTTTGAAACATACAAAAGCAGGAACTAACTCATGAATAAATAAAACAAAGAAGAGTCACATGACACGTTGATGTGTGGAGACAGCCTACTCTCTTGGTATTTTGTTTTGATATAGTATCAGCTTAATTTGGAGCAATAGTCTATATCTATAAATAAGAATTGCAGGCACATTTCATCATTTCATCGGGGACACTGTTGCAGATACAGGTACTGCTCTGCCAACCTACAAAGAAACAGTTTAAAGAGGCAGAGAGCCTGTTTTTTCTGACCAAGGATTACTATAGTGCAGTACACGCACTTTTTTGTACTGCAGGAAAGTATTAAAAATTAAAAGCTGTTTTTATTGTCTTTCTTATTCCATATTTGTTTACAGATATCACACTTTTTATAAACTTTTTTGTGTTATTTATAGGTTTATTTTAACTCATGTCTGGTCTCTCTATAAACTACGGGGTTAGTGCTTAGCTTGATGTATTTGGGGACTCTTTCCCCAATGTGTTTTTTATTTCTTCGGGTTTTTCTGTGTTTTTCAACCTCTCTCTGTTTTTCTGAGTTGGGGTCAAACGGACTATGTTTGCTCCTCTCCGAGCAATGTTATAGTGTAGAAGTGTGTATGGGCCTCTTGAGAAATACTGATTGTAAATGCTCGCCCAAGGAACCCTTCTGGCCTCTCATCTCCCTCTCTCCGACAAACATTTCTGTACTCCACATGCACACTGACTGCGCAGAGGCATCAGACTGGGGGTGCAAATGTCAGCTTTCCTTAACATCACAACTCTGGATCCCTCTCTTATTTGTCTTTTGAGGCAATGAGATGCCCAAGTCAGCCCAATACCAACAAACATGTGTTATTCACCCAAACAGACATTATCTCTGTTTGCACCAAAATTAATTTGCAGTGATATAATTTCCCACAGAAATGTCACAATTCATCCTTGCAAATGGTTATGTACACAAACAGAGCAAACAGCTCCTTCATTCACTGCAACATCGGAGATTTTCTAACTTTGATCAACGCCACTCTGGATTCATATTTACTTGTAACACTAAACTTAATTATAAACATTTCCCTGCACTCCTCCTGCTCAGAATGAATCAGATGTATTCCCCTTCTTGAATGCAAATCAATACGAAATGGGAATCATGTAAAAGGGTAATTTTGTGCCCACTGTGTGGCAGGATCATTTGCACCATGGAAATCTATAGCCATAACTGGGCGCCTATAGGTGAGTTAAAACAGCTATGATGACCGATTTTAAAATCTAAATTCTGTCTCCTTGGTAAAATGAAACGATGGAATCATTTGTATTCAGTATGTAGAAACAACATTACAAAGATGTCTCTGAGCTCTTTACAGCTATAAGGTTTCTAGTGACATATTCTGACTGCAGCTTGTCTGCAGTCTAGCACACCTATATATAGACCCTCACAGAGATCGTCTGTACAGGAGTCTAAAAGGCACAAAAAATGCTTTCAAATCTCAGCAGTTTCACAGCTTCTTGGACTGGTGGATTAGAATTACCATATATTTCATGAATCTAATCTTTTCTTCTTGTGTTCAGGTATGAAAATACAGATTCTGAATTCTGAATTCTTACTGATTCAGGATAGTTAATAATTAATTTGTTAGATGATAGATAGAAAATTAGTCCAACAGTTTTGATAGTCAATTTTTCACTATGTATATTGAACAATCGTATATCAAGAAAAAAAATATTTTCTGGTTCCAGTTCGTCCAGGTTTTGATGCTTCTTCTTTCATTGTCCACCAACATATAGCAACCATATTGAACAGTTTCTTAGAATTCTACACATTTCCAATTCATTGAGTCATTAATATAATATGTGCATTTGGAAAGCTCACTGTGTATATAAATGTCTAGAACTTCACATACAAATGAGAGTCAAAAAAAGAAGGTATGTGGGTCCAACACATGTACTTGACCACAAAATTAGACCTTGATCAAGGCAAATATTTTATCATAGGGAATCTCAATGCTTATAATTACATTAAAGATAACCCATTAGTGCTTTTTAATGCTAGTACACAGGGGAAACACAGTTCACAATTGTACTTCTCATGTTTAAATACAAAGGGAGCTCCACAGATACAACATATCACAAAAAAGTGAGGATAAATCAATACAGAAAGCAAATCAAAATACATTTTAATTTAGTTTTGACATACTTTAATCTCCAAATTGCTATCTGTAGTGATTCCTGCTCAGTTGTGATGACTGGATACTTGCAATGGACCTAAGTGTGCTGAACTTTCCAAGATACACAATTTATCAAAAAATAACTGATCAAAGTAATTGTTAGTTGCAGCCGCTAACTAAGACATATTGGAGGCAAATTCTTTGAGCGTGCGATTGGTGCCATAGGATGTCAGTTCATGAGCAGCTAACATAGTGTTACTGACTGTGATGTGGTAGAATGAGCAATTTGTGGAATCTCTTCCCTGTGGATCCTTGCAGAAGTGGAGGCCTGTGTGCTGACTGTGGACTGGCAAATTCAAAGTGAAAAGCGCTGCCCACATGTGGGATTCCTCTTCTCACACCATCACAATGCATTAGTGTTCATAAGCGAATAAATCTTGATAAGATATCTCCCCTACTGTTTACTGCAGGTATAAATATATTATGTGACTCTCTGGCCTGTCAGGAGAGGGACTGACAGGTACATGTTGTCTTCAAAGGTTGTGTCTTTCAGTTGTGTTGGCTCAAGAATGAAAGCTTAAAATTCATATTGAGGCTCTTTCTTTCCGTTGTTGGCTTGGTACTCTCTGTCTCCAGCAATGAGAAGAAGAGTGAGGCCAACGAGGACTGCAGATACTGCTGAGTGGTGCGGCACAGGGTGTAGGACTGTTATCTTCTTGACTAATGGCCTGAGAGTAGCTTCTTACTCTTTAGAGGCTACATTTACTTAATCACCAGACAAGATAATGCTGCTGTCACTGTGTTGGCTCGTGTGAGAGGGTGATGGGGTGTTGCTTTTGTCTGCATGCACAGTGTAAAGATATGTGTTTAGAAGCACGGAGGGACGTTTTATGTGCTTACTGCTCCTGTCCAGGCTCATATTAAGAGACAGACAGCTGAGCAGTAGCCTGCTGAGGATTCAAGTCTCAGAGAGATTCAGGGGCAGACAGATAGACAGATACGGTAGGTAGACAAAAAAAGAAGAAGAAAGGCCTGGCCATGCATAACCACCCTTCAGCATCGGTCACCCTTCCTGGCCTCTTTTATCCCTGGACCAACCACTACTTTCCTGTCTCTTTCTTCCCCAACCTCTGAATGAGTCACTTCCAACTGCCTGGCTCAGTCCGGAGGTTATGAATTAATCAAACTTTCTTTTCCTCT